AAAACAGCCCTTATTAGGGCTACCACATAATTTCTTATAAAGAATTCATAAAAAATCATTAGAACTTAATAATATTTCTTTTACTTTTCCATGTTTCACCACCTTTATTCTCTCCTGAGCTAACACTACTTAGTGTATTTCACTTTCAAAATCGAATCTCACGTTGAATTGTTATTTCAATTCCCTATAATTTGTGTTTCAACAACGAATCAACTTGGGAAATTCTCTAACCAGTAAACGTTCAAATATGTCACATCCCGATTTTCGATTTTTTGCATTTAATCGGTAGAGAGGCCAAAAAAAAAATATATAATTTGAACCAAATTCATATTTGTGCTTTTTAGGCCGCCATGACGTTTCCAGTCCCGTCCGAAACATACACAATATACTATATCATAAACGAATGAAGATATGGTAAGACATTTTTGGATAAAATTCTCGGTCATACTAGCTATAAATACTAAAACGGTTAAGACCAATATTAGCGCGTTACTAAAAATATACAAACATTGATTTCATGGGCTATTTTCTGTTAGACGTTTTTTTGAGTCTTTAATTCATTCTATGTAGAAACACTTATGGTTCTGACATAAATTGGTCCTAGAGCATTGAGCGCAAATGATAACTTCAACAAAGACAGTATTATGTTTACTTTGTTCAATGAATAGAAAATCTAGATAAATATATAACCATTTGCGTTTACTACTTGACAACAAAATGCAAACACTATGTTTCGTATTAAAAAATCATGAGAAGTGATTTGATTGTCATGTTTTGAAATAATTGTTTAAAGATTTTGAGTGTTTCGTTGGAATAGTGCTGATTAGGCAAATAATGAAATATATTTTGTTTTTACTGAAAGTTTACAGATCGCTTCAATCAAATATCCATTGCATTCAAAACATAAAATTCAAACGAATCGTAAAGGCTTATTTTATTTTTGACGAAAGAAAAGTATAAATAGAGTGCCGTTTCTGTTGCGGGCAAAAGTTTAGTTTTAAATTTCGTTCAGCAAACAATATACAAAGAAGCAAAAAAAAGATGTCTGGCCGTGGAGGAAAAGGCGGTAAGGGAGGAAAAGGCGGAAAGGGAGGATCCGGTGGTGCCAAACGTCATCATAGAATATTGCGTGATAGTCTCCTAGGCATCACAAAACCAGCCATACGTCGTTTGGCTCGTCGTGCTGGTTGCAGGCGTATTTCGGGTAACATCTACGTAATAGCTCGAAGCGTGTTGAAAAATTTCTTGACAAAAATCATCGGAGATGCAGTCACATACACCGAACACGCCAGGCGCAAGACAATGACCGCTATGGATGTCGTCTACGCTGTGAAACGTCAAGGCCGCACTTTGTACGGTTTCGATGGCTAGTGAGCCAACAAATAAAAACATCTATATAAATCATCAGAGTATTTTTAAAATCAATCAAATATTTTCAAATTAAAATAACATAAACAAATAATAATAAATTATTATGAAGATTTCTTGTCAAAATTGAAAGAGGCTTTGGAAATTTACTTGAACATTTTAAATCCAGTAAATGTTTCCCGTTTTTAAAAAAACATTTTAAACATAGTTATGATGGTTCTTTTCAGATTATGTGTTTACACAGAAGTTGACTAATTTCTATGACATTTCAATGACGAAATATACAAAGTCTTAGAAACAATTTTCCATCATTCTTCACAAAATTATTTGATGTAGTATAAATAAAAAAAAACGAAAGTAAATATGGATTTTCAATTTAATTTAACCCTACAATTAGTTACAATAACATATAACTCGTACATATTATCAAAAAAGTTAGTATTTATTTGGTTTAAAAAATTCATTGGTTAAAATAATTACGGTGGTCTTCAGAGTTTTCTGAGATTAATGAGGTGATTTTATTCTTTTTAAAAAATAGCAATCCAAAAATTTAGCGAAAAACCGGAATGATAAAAAAGATCAGATTTTAAAAATAAGAATGTTGGTACTTTTAATGATTGTAATTTGATTTAAAAGTGTGACGGGTTTTTTATTTTTTTATGTAAATTCCATCATGCATCACTTAATATACAGTGTAGCAAGGTACATTTGAAAAACATCTTCGTCTCTTAAGCGATCGTAGTTAAGATTTTATTAAACATATTTATTGTTAAAATAAAAAAGAATGAACGTTTTTGATTTTCGTCCCGGTAAAAGATTATCTACAATATTTAAGATTAATACCTGTTTTGACAACCATACCTCAAATATGAAGAAGTTTGCAATTGTTAATTATTCCAAAAATAAAAGTATATAGAAAAATCACATTCTTTTTCCATTCTCGTAAAAAAAACACCTGAATTTGGTTAATTAATAATATGAAATAGCTCTTTATTGTTCAATACAAATGTTTTATTAGATAATCGCAAATAACGAATATTAAATGATTTTATTTTAGTTTGGAATTTGATAGAGGCAAATTGTGGATTTGCGAATGATAAATCTAATTTAAAAAAGGAAAAACCAAAAATCAAATGCAAGTCAAGAGACTCATGCTACAGACATATTAAAATTGGCAATGATTGTTTGAATGCAAATCGATTCGAAAATATTGATGTTTATTGTTCGTCTTTGTCTTTAGCGCCGTGTTTCAAAATTCTAGTGAATTCTATATAATCGAAGAGACCGTTTTTGATCGGCGCTTCACGATACATTTCATCGACATCTTCATCGGTGAAGCGATCGCCCATCGTGGTTAAAAGTTCACGCAAACGTTCTTCTGGAATGAGTCCCATATTCTCTTCGTCGAAGCATCCAAATGCATTTTTAATCACATCTTCTGGGTCCGTGCCTTGCAAACGTTCACCAAACAATGTCAAAAACATGGTGAAATTTATTGGTCCCGGTGCCTCATTCATCATGCCATCCAAGTAATCGTCGCTTGGATTCTTTCCGAGTGATGCAAGCATATCATGTAAATCCTCCTTTTCAACGAAACCATCGCGATTCTGGTCAATCATGTTAAATGCTTCCTTGAATTCGGCTATTTGAGCTTGATCAAACATTGCGAACACATTGGATGTGGCACGTTGAGCGCGCTTCTTTGTTGTGGCACGACGACCGGCTGTTTTACGTGATGACATCTTTTCTGAAACATGAACAAAAAGAAAACAACAAAAACATCTAATTAGTTCACATGTAATAAGAATAATTTCAATTCGCACATCTGTGGCTTAACTATGTCGTTATGCGTATGTCATTTAGTTGTCAAATTAATAAGAAAATGAAATCCGGGTGTTGATCGCCCATGACTCATTCGTATAAAACCTTTAAGAAACTATCATTATGACTTAGTGTGTGCGTTCACATACAAAATTGGTATGGGTTTTGTGCATTTTGGTCGTAAATCTGTCGCTCTAATCAACAAATCAATTCTAAATGTGTACATATCATGTGTGTGTTGTCTTTGCCAATTCATTACCTAAAATGGTGCGAATTTATGCGCTCAATTTTATTCTATTTTTTTATGTTTGTTTCAATTCGAAAAAGTAGACCAAACGATTGTGTTGTTTGTGTATTATTTGTCGACTTTATATCGCATACACTTACACACATAAAACGCCTCGCATCTACTTAAACATGTACACAACAAATAAAATAAAACATCAGCAAAATTCAATGCACTTTTATAATAGCATTGAACATGATTATTAAATATGAATGTAAATGGAACACATTTTAAGTGCTTTAATGTATTTAAAGCGCGATAATTTGTTGATTATTGTAACAGAGAAATTCCATAATATTCGATATTGTGACGTCACTTACATGGAATCTTCATTCCGTTTTCACACTATATTTATACAATGATTCACTTTTAACGAAGATCTACTCACCTTATCGTTTTAAAAAATCCAACGGAAAATTTCAATAAAAGAATTTCACGAATGAAATTTGTAGAATTTATGAAAAACAAAACAATTTTTTTATTGTAAAAATAGATGTGCAATTTTGAAGGTATACTTTTGGAATTGCTACACCTTAAAGTGTCGTTCGTTTACTAAAGACGTTTGCCGTTTACCAATCGCTGTGATGTTTCATTGTTTTGTCGTAGCCGTTTCGTAGAAGAGTGAGTGAAACAGATAGCGATGACTTGAAGCGAGACGCAGCGAATGCATGACAGATGTTACCAGATGCGAAATTATGTACGACAGAACTACCAACGTTAATATGAAATTTGAAAAAAAAACGGATGGATTGATTTTTGTTCATAAAAAGAGAGAGATACATTCAAATATTAAACGACGAAATGAAACGTTTAAATTGAAAGCCGAAAATGATTGATGTTCGAATTAAACAATTATAGTTTAAAATTAAGTAATAATGGTATTTCGTCTTTTCGATGGAAAATACTACTTTCTAGTATGGTATTGCCAATTTCATTTGAAAATCAACATCAAAATCGCTTGAATAAAATCATCATTAAGAAAAAAAGAAGAAAATTATTATTTACTCCAAAAAAATGCCGATTTCCTTCACAGAAATAAAACTGCTAATCCAAATTCCATATTTCCAAACATTTTTTTTATTTACAAATAAAATATTCATATACTTAAAAAATTCTTATGATAAAAGTACGTAAAAGATCTTTTCAATTGTTCAATTCATTCGTTACAATTTAAATTTAAAATCGACATATATTTAATCCAAGATCCGAACGGTCTTGCTATTATACTGTGCATTTTGTGAAGACATTTGCTATTTTACATTAATTAAAATGACTGAATTGCTTACATACTAAATACATATCATTTTCAGCTACGATTAAATTACTTTGCTTAAAATATATCGACTAACAAGAAGACAGTCATTTCTCACAATCAATATTTTGCAAATTGGCATTAAAACATTCATATCAAAGTGTATTCGTGTGTGTGTTTAAAAAGAAATTCAGATTTTCATTTGGACGATGTTCATCGTATCGCCATTCCATTTATGGTGACAACGCTGGCCGCTCCTTGTGCGGGAGGTGGTGGTGGCAATGGTTCTGGTTCGTATACATCTTCGTTTGTTTGCATCTCATAGGGAGCATCGTAGTATGGTTCTGCTGGTATTTGATCGTAAATATTTTCTGCAAATACAAAGAAATACATTAAAAATTCCACTTTCTACATTGTACGTACACGTGTAGCTTACCTGTCGATCGATTGTTAGTGTCGTTCAAATGAGGTGGATGGAATGTGTTAAAGGTGGCTTGATTTTGATATAAATTATCCATATTTTGTCGATTTGTTTCTAAACTTGAATACGACATGACGGCCGCATTTTGATCTTCTTTTCTTTCGGCCGCCTGAACATTTTCAGTGTTTTTAACTGGTCTGGCTTTGTTTCGATGCAGTACAATTAATGCGATCAAAACTAGTAAGATTATGATAATAGCAACACCGATTGCAATGCCAGTTCCAAGACCAGCACTGTCTTGGGCATCACTGGCAGCCAATTCGCAACGTGGCTCTTCGCCACTCCATTTCGCATCATCCATACATTTACGCAAATAGGGACCGATTCGTTGGAAATTTGGTATGCAATGATATTCCACTGAACCACCGTAGATTGTTGATTCGTTAACAACAATAATACGACCATTTTCGATTGTATTCGGTCGATCACAATCGACTGGTTTACAAATGGGCGATTTTCCTGCCCAACGACCATTTTTCAAACAAACGCGCGTTTCATTTCCGATCATATTGTGACCCTTTGGACATGAGAATTTTGCAATTGAACCAACCGTTCGAATATCAGCATCGACAATCACATTTTCGGCCATATCTGGAATATCACATGTTATCTCAACACAAGACGGTGGATCGTGGCCCCATGTTCCATTTTCTAAGCACAGTCGACGTGAAATTCCATCCAATTTAAAGTTTTCATCACATTCATACAAAATCGTTGATCCATAGTATGTTGCGTTTTGGGTTAGAAGCACTTTTCCATTTTTAATTTCGGCCGGTTGATCACAATCCACAACTGAAAAGAAGATTTTTTTTATCAATTATTATTGATTTTGATTGAAATAAAAATGAATGAAATGACTTACATATACACTCCGGCATCGATCCGCTCCATGCGCCATTTTCTTCGCATGTAACCAACGGTTCGCCAATAATTTTATATCCACGTTCACAACGATATTTTGCAAGAGCTCCAATTCTATCAATAAAATTGTATAAAAAAATATTATTTATATCAATATTTCGAAATAATAAGTAGAAATTCTTGACCTAACCAAAAATAGAAACTTGTATCGAATGAAAACTGAATTGAAAGTATATACGTACTTATAAGTTTGAACGCTCTTTTTCGGATTATTTTCAGCGGTACGAATTAAAGTTCTGCCATACATACGGTCGTTACCGGTGACCGATAGAATACTATGTGGTGCAATAACTGGTTCAGTGCATCGAATTTCTTCGCATCTAGGTGTTTCATCACTCCATGCGGCACCGTCCAAACATCGTCGTTTCTCAACACCTTGCAGCCGATGCGAGTTAATGCAAGAGTACACAACTTCCGATCCAATATACGTTGTATTCTGAATGTATTTAAATGATCCATATGGAATCGGTTGAACTGGACCACAATCGATATATTCACAAACGGGTGCCTCTCCACTCCATTCACCAGTTTCTGTGCATTTCAATTGAGATTCACCGCGTAGCTTATGACCAGCATCGCAGTGATATTCAATCATTGAGTGAATGTTGTAATCATAACCAACGACATATGAGCCCGGCGGGAGATTTGGTGCTTCGCATGTAATCACTGCAGAATAAAAAGAGAGAGAGAGAAATTGAAACGAATGAAGTGACGATTTGAAAATGATGTTCTCTAAATGAGTGAATGTCCCAATGGGAAAGCAAATGAAAAAGTAGAAATTCATGTTCGCTTACATTCACAAGCCGGTGCATCATCGCTCCATTTGCCGTCTTTCGTGCAACGTAGTTCACCATTTCCAACAAGCCAATAGTCATCATCACACTAAATATGGTGAAAAAAAGAACAATCTCATTAGATTTTGTGCAATTTCAAAATGAAATCATCTGTCAAACAAACCTGATATTTAACGATTGAACCAACTGTTGTTGTGCCATTTACTAATTGAATGCTGCCCCGATCCGGTCTAACTGGAGTACCACAATCAACATATCGACAAATTGGCGCTTTTCCACTCCATTCTCCTCCTAACCCACATGTTATGATCTAAAAATGTGTTTCGAAAATTTACCAATTATTTCGAAGAAAATTTCATTTCTCTTCATTAATTTTTTTGAATTTTCTCTTCATACCGGATCTCCAATCAACACATATCCCTGATCACACTTATAAACAGCTGTTGCTCCGGCTCGTTTGCCGCTCAAATCAACTGATCCGCCAGCAATTTGTATTGGATCCGGACACCAATCGACAAGACATTGTGGCTGTTTGCCCGACCACCCATCGATGCCACACGTGCGATTCTCATTGCCAATCAATGTGTAATTTTCATGGCATGTGTACATGGCTTGAGCGCTAAATGATGTTCTATGTTCTGGCAAAATGATTGCACCATGCTCAAGTGTCGGTAATTCACCGCAGTCAATATCTAATTCAATTTAAATAATTTTGAATTGTTATTTAATTTCCGTCAAATTAAGACAATTTGCTGTTTAAACGTACATTTACAGGTCGGTGCTTTTCCACTCCAAATACCATTTTCACATTGACGACTTCCATTGCCGATGAGGGCATGTCCAATTGGACATGAATATGTAATATTCGCACCATTCGTATAATTTCGACCCGACACCGTTGTATTCTGCAACGAATCTGGACTTCCACATGACAGAGGCTCTATATAATTCAATGACCAAAACGAAAAATAAAAATTTAAGCGAAATTGCCTTCGAGTAATTAGCATGCGGTAAATTTTTATTGTAGTCTCACCGTGTTGACAAATGAAGTGTAAATAGTCAAGATTACAGCCAACATCATTCCATAACCAATTCCTCCCGCCGTCTAAGACAACACAATTTTGTTCGCCATTGTAATTGTTCGGTTGATCACGGCCCCATGCGGGCTTCAATACAATATCACCTTTTTAGCAACAAAAAACAAAAAAACACATTTTATAATAACAAAGTACATGTTTTTGTTTCTCTCTTTATGCTGTGGAAAAGTACAAAAGGGAACCATTTTTTTCACTTTGCATTTTATGACAGATTAGATTTTGTTCGAAGAGAAGAGAAAAAAAATATGCAAACAAAGGATTGATAACAATCATTTGCCTACATTTTACAATTTTACTGTTTTCTATGATTAGTTTTTTTTTCTCATGTCGGTAGGCTGATTTTGAAATCAGTGTTTAGAACGTGCACATAATATTCGCATACGAATGCCATAACAATAAACAAGTGAGCTGGAGACAGAGAGAAAACAAATGCCTTTAAGAAGCAAAAAGGCAGATATTAGCAATAATTAATGACACGTTCAATTGGTTACGTCGACGATGTTAGATTCTATGCATTTAACGGTCTGTGGGTAACCGTTTTTCGAATAACAGCCGCACAAAAGAAAACAGAAAACATCAGTCTCGTCTTTAATAACAATAATGTGATGTGCAATAATTTTCACAGCATTCATCGATTTTTCTCACACATTTATTATAATAATGTGCTTTTTTTCTTCATTCGAAATGTTCGATGTTATGGTTTGAGCTCATAGTTCGCGCATGCCAAAAATATTTTGTATTTCTTTCACCAAACATGTTCAATTTCAATTTGATTCATTTAATGACTATGCAATGACAAACGTTACGCGTTGACCTCCACCGTATTCGATTCACACATACACGCCGTGAATCTCGTTGATTTTTGTGTGCAAATACTTTTATTTTTACCTTTCATGGTTTATCACAATCGAAAAATCTGTCAAAGTCATCAGAATTGAACTTACCATTAACCCATTTCCATGTGCGTGATGTGTATCCCGGCTCTTTTTGCGCACCAATCCAAACCAATTGTGTACGAAGCTCCGTCTTGCGTCGTTCAAGCTCCGATAAAATGTAGTCTTTCGTTGTTCCGCGGAAATCGTGAATCAAATCTCCACCTAAGAAGAACCAAAACGATATCAATAACCATTTTACAAAATACACTCGACAAAATTAGTGGACGTGAACGTGGCTATATCGTTCCAGATAAAACATGCCTGTAAATTAGTTTCTTAAATACTTCATTCAATGCTCGCCACCCGTTAAAAACACCATAGATCACCACAATTTAATTTAGCAGAACGAATCTAATTTATTAATGTGATTGCAATTAAGATTAATCTCTCACTTTGTTTAGCTTGTGAGGTTGGGTTTTTTTTTGTATAAATGGCCATAATTTTCGTGAATTATCATGCATAAAAACATTATTTTTATGCATTGTTTCAACTGTTTACAAAGTAATTTAAGGCAAGCACATGCCAATGCTTGAGTGTATGATAAAATGTCACTCTTTGAAAAATGACATTTTTCACACGGTTGCAAACAATTCAGCTCTCTGTTCTCCTGGTCATAGAAAAACAAAAAATTACCGTGCGATTTGCAGATTTGTTGTGCCTTTTCATAGCTCTCGCCGCGTGTAACGTGGAATTCAAAACAAGTACGGTCGAATGTTTGTAACACTGTGTCCGCATTTAAATTTGGAGCGGCACACCGTTCGGATGAAAATTCTGTGGAAACAAAAAGGGAATTTTTTGGTTTTAAATTCAATTAAATTCCACATATATGGTTAAACTAGATTTTAACAGCTTACCATCGTTCGAAAATACTTCGACTTCGCACAAACTGAGACTACCTTCAACACCAACTAATTGAATGGCAACGAATTGGCCGACCAAAGGTCGTGCACATGTAAATGTTTTTGATGTGCCTTCATCTGAATGGAAGAAAAATACAATGATAGTAAGAAAGAAAAACAAAGAAAAATAAATAAGCAGACAACAAAACAATCGATCGCAGTGCGTTTTATAAGAACGGAAAGTGTGATTCTGAAAATTTGGTTGAAGGTTTTTTTTGTGTGTGTTCGATTGTGGTGTTGTCTTTTGTCTTATATCCGAAATGGTGATTTTATGATAATGTTGAATAATTTTTAATTTTTTATTTCTTGAATTAAAATGTAATTAAAATCGTTAAGCTTATTTCTTACCCACAGTTCCTGGATACCATGCACACAATGGATTACGTTGCAAATCGAAACTACTGTTTCCAACTCGAATCTCTAAATCTTGAAGCGGTGGAAATCCGCAACAGCCTCTTGTTGTGATTCTCACAACGCGAATCGTCTGCGGTGCCAATAAATCGACGCGCCACCATGGCGATACCTCTTTTTGTGTTTCCGAGCATTTTTGTTCGTCGGGATTTTCATTACCCAATTTACCATCGTTTGCTAAACCAGCCGGACCAGCTCGCGTTGATGATGATTGATTCACCGGCTTTCGGTATGCCACATTTGTACCTAAATACATCACAAACAATATTCAATTATAAAAAGAAACATATAAAAATTCGCAAAGAAATAAAAAAAAAACAAACAACTCCCGCATAAATCATCGTTGTGCGAGCAACGAAATTGAATTAAATTGCATAATTTTATCATCAATTTTTGTTTGAAGCAATATGCCATTGTTACACCTTTCGCTGGTTTTTATTTCTCATCTCTCGTCGTACTCATCGACGTACATTGGAAACAACATTCACACGCAACCGAAAATAAAAAAGCAGCAGCAACAACAAGACGACGATTATGCCGAATGAAAACAATATTCTTCCGTAATATATTATTTAATTATTCGTTTTTTTGAGTTATATTATGATAATATGAACAAATAAATATATGACGCGCGCGCAACAAGCGAATAAATGTGATCGTTGAGATGCAACTCTCAAAACACATTCAAATGAAATATATGCAAAATGAGCGAGAAAAAAACCGCGCATAAAAAATGGAAGAAAAAAATCATGTTCACACGCACACGATGGCAAAAAAAAAGAGAAGCAGATTCTCCAAATTATATGTGCGACTTCGTGGCCACACGATTGTTGTCGTCATACACTCATGCACAATGCTCAGTAGGAGCCATGCATATCGCATTGAGTAAAAGTGATGAAAAGAGCAAATGCCGAGTGATGAATAACAAACATTTTCATGACATTTTGCTTGGCACAGGAGGAGGCGAAATTCAGTCATTTTCCAGCAAATTAGTAATTTTCAGCATGAAACCTTTTTATGCTACCAAAAAAAAACATGCAATCATATTATTAGATACACGTTTTTTTTAATTACTATGGAATGGAAATGAGTGGTTTTCGTCTAAAAAAACCAGAATTTCTTTGGCCAGTTAATTGAAAATTATACTGCGGCGAAAAAAAAGGTGAAATCAAGAAATTAAAAAAAAAAATCAATTTCATTCAAAATGGCAAAATTTGCATCAATTTGAGCATGAGAACAAAAATTTTGACGGTGTGAATGTCTTCATTTCTCAAACTCGCTTTCTTTTCTCAGCAAACAAAAATTATATCAGATTATGATATAGACTTTCTCGATGGTTTGGCAAATGCCGTATTTCGCAGGTTAATAAAAAAATATGTAAATATTTGCATATATGCGATGAATAGATGATTATAACACAAAAAATCTGCATAGAAATTGAAATTGAGCTGTGTATTATGTGTACTTACCACAAAATGGTAGATCTTTTTCCCATCCACGCTTTGGATCACATTTCGTGACACTTGGACCGAATAATTCATATCCCGAATCGCATTCATAATGCGCTTCTGATATGCCCGATTGGCCGGAAACTGTTGTTTTTACTTTTGCATTCAACGGCACGGCCGGTTGACCACACACTGAAAAGAAAGAAAAAAAAAACCGAAGCAACGATTCATTATTAGATGATATTCAAACGTACAAGTGAAAATGCAAAATAAAAGATTTAAATTCAATAATATTTAAATGGAGATTGAGTATATTTCTTAAGTGCTCTGAATCGAAACGCGCCAACAAAACGGAGCTCAATTCATTCAAATGAAGACCAAAGTGTGCCCATAATTTATCGATTCAATCGTTCAAATCGAATCGCTTTGTATTTGAATACATCACCATACATGTGCATTTGATTGTTGTTGGCGTGAATAGCATAAATCACGCACTGACAACATTGACCAATTCGAAAATGCGGAAAGAAAGCAAAAACAAATCGCAACAATATCAATTGGCCGATTATTATGCAAATTCTCTCTCGTCTTGTTTACAAATCTGAAAATTATTGTTATTTGCAAAGAAAATGCCATTCAAAATGCAACCGACACAATTCGTTGAACTTATAGTAAATTGACTACAATTTGTAAATAAAAAGAGTTTTGTTTGATCAAATACGGTGCCGCGCACATTAGACAATGTTGAAGTTAAATCGGTTCAATGGTTTTTTTGTTATTTTTATTTTTTTGCGAAATCGAATATCGTTCGAATCGTAATACTTGATCACCATACGACAAGTGAATTGTTTCAAAGATTTAGCATTGCGTTACAAACTAGTTACGGCCAACTGATTACCGCAAAACAAGCAACCATTTGATATTATTTTATTCGATGAACGCGAGCCGAATGTTTTCCCCCGTATTTCAAGAAAATTGACCGTTTTTTTTTTTTTTGCATTAATCCATCAAACGTCGAATACAAATTTCAATCGTATCGAATAAATCTCTTATCCAGGCCGATCTTTGTCCATTTGTTTTGAGTAAACTACACTTGACAAACCAACCAACCGACTGTGAGAGTGTAAAAGAGCTAGAAAACCGATTGTATGAGATTTTGTAATGGTTGAATAAAAAATGAGCTCCTTTTATATTTTGTTGCAATTAAATTCGTTGTGGAATTTATTAATGAGGTGAACATTCCGAAAAAGTGTGTAACATAAAGTCTTTGATACACAGTTGTGAGATTATATATAATATTGAAGACGATCGTTCCCATCGGCATACATTTTTAGCCGAATTAGCGTTATTATTTCTATTAAAATGCAGTGAAAATACCATTTTACGCAATTATACGTTATTAAACTGTTTCGCAGAAATTAACGACGAAAACAAAGGCGCCGCTGAAACACATCTCTCTTTTTTTTCACCATAATTCGATATTAATTTACATCTTCCACTGGGAGATATTAAACATTGCCATTTGCATAAAGAAGCTGCTTTCTTCATGGGGTGAATTAATACAAAAAAATAAGTTCACTTCTTGATTATGGGCTCTCTTCTGACAAATTCCCAAATTATATACATATTTCCATTCTTTGATTGTGTTTTTTTAAAGAGAGAAAATCTCTCGGCTATTGTCGCCACCACCATCATCATTATCTTCATTATATATTTCTAATTGACTCCAAATTTGTACCATGTTTCACATTCATCATCGGCCTCGTCAATTATCAAAGTTTTCTTCTTCGAATTCACCTGCGCGAACGAAATCGAGAGAGAGAGAGAGAGGGAGAGAGAGAGAGAGATTCTCAAACAATCGCCAGTCAGTGTAATTGATACAAAATGAATCTCGTGCAGACTGCGCCGCGAACGCACACACCAAACAAAACGGAATTGAAACGCAATCGAATCGGTAAATGATTAAATATAATTTTTGAATTTACCTTGAACGTTCTTCTTTCTCTCTTCATCAGCTCGCACTGTATCTAAGACAAACGAATGTATTGACTTTGTATATACTACCTGTGCGTGCGTATAGAGCTCTATTTACCGACCGGAATGATTGAGAGATTGAAGAGAGAGATCATTGGAACAAAGACAACGAACGCAACGCACACAACTCTAAGGTAAAGGGTATATTATGCCGCGAGTCGTCACTCTCTTACGAAACACATGTTCAAATCTTTGAACCATGAGTATTGAGTACTTGAAAACCATTCATATACACAAAATACATACGGTTTGTACCGAAAAAAAGTCAAGAGTTTGTGATCGCACATTAGAAAAAAGTGCGATCGTTGTTCGTTTCAAGGTGTTCTTGATTGAGCGCATGAATCGATCTGAAATGGAAGCGAAGAAAATCATTGAATCTTATGAGCGCGCGTCATTTTACACATGCACAGCAACCGCGAAGTGCTAAAGTGCGAGATTCAAGTAATTAGAGACAAACAAACAAAAATTTTATTTTGAGCAGCCACCAAATCTGGAAATAGATTTGTTTTTTCTTCGATTTGCGAACAAGTTTGGACAAGTAATTAAAGTCGTTTGAATTTTGTCATGCGTTCGGCCAGGTTGCCAGAACAATTAATTGGTCTCACACAAAATGATTTTGCAGTTTGCAAGAAAAAAAAAACAATCATAAAAATCGAAAAAAAAAACCTTAGCACTTTTATACGTTATTGACCCAACAAGTTACCTCGTTAAATTCAAATTTTCAATCGAATCGTTATTTGCGAAATTCACATTTCAAATTTGAAACAAAATTGACTAAAAAATGACAAATTCGTTAAGCTGATAATGAATTACTTAAGGAAAAGTCAATTTTTCAACGTGTTTTTTCTTTGGTTTGCAATTTTTTTGCGTCTGCAATTGCCACTTAATTTAATGAGTTTATTGAAATCGTTTGCGATTCGATGATAATTTTCAAATTGCATAATTGATACTTTTGATAATTGAGTTTGAAGAGAGAGAAAAAAGGGACGGGTAACCTTTTGGAAACATTTGAGACCGAATCTCTTGAGCAAAAGTCGAATTGGCAAAGCACTATCAACAATATTCAAAAAGTGTCTAATGAATTAATCGATTGGTTGCCGATAGAAGATTGACGGCAATTTTTTTTCGATTGATAGATGTGTTGTCACAAACCGTTTTTACTAAATGGTTTTTTTGTCGTTGTTTTTACGTTGATTCAATTAAATGTCGATTTGGTTTTTCGTTGAAATGCGATTGTCGCGTCTTTCATATTGGATAACTGTTTGAAATGGAAACTGTTATGCAAAAGGAAATTCAATTCGAGTACGTTTCCATGTCACTGGACATCACGAAATTTTAGCACTTTTTAAGGCAATCTATTGTTGTGCGATTCATTTTTTGTTGGTGATTTGTAAAACCCACGTTCAACCCATTCAAATGAAACATTTCAAAAGGAGTCATCACCCTAGAAGAAATAAAAGACTTTCATTCGAAACCGACAAATGACATATTCCAGTGGTGTAATCACATTTTTAAAAAAATCCCATACCGGATTAATCATTCAAACGGTTCGAATCGAGTATAATCCGAAATGGGAACCCCTCAGAAAAAAAGACGAATCAAACAAATACTTTCGAACATTTTATTTTTTTATGTTTATCTTATTAAACAGTGATTTGAAGGTGAAAAACCCTACGGAGATGTTATTTGATTAGGCGAAACAAAAAGACACTGTTAATAAACACGAATATTCAAATAAAAGAGAAATGCCTCACACTTCCAATTCTTGTAATTGTGTGTGTGCGCTATGTACGATTGAGGAGTCATTGAATTAATCGATTGTCGGATTGCGTGCGTAATTCTATCGATGATTGAACGTGATCATGTGAACAAATAGAGAAAAAAAAGCCGAACAGTTATGATCGATTGAATTTTATGGCAGGTCAAAGCCGTTTCTATTGAGCCTCAAAAAATCTGAATGTTTATTTTTCGCACCTTCATCACTTCGCTTTTTTCGTCGATTTATGAAAAATTCTGATTACTTCAATTACAATTGTTTCCTTCCATCGAATTATTATGATGGCCAGCAATTACATTTTACGTGTTGAAATTGAAGGGAGAATCACCGTTACTATTCAACTTCTGTATGGTAATCGCGTAAATAGGTAATGTTTTTCTTTTATTGCGACACACGCAGCGCTGTAGTTTACATGAAGAAAGTGTGTTATCATCAAGATGAATCGTGTATTGTTCAATTCATTTCTTAAAAAAATAACTGGCCGAATGATGACGTGCGTTCTTTGCTTGCCTTCTCTCGACACAAATGTAGCACATAAATCACGAGAATTTTGCAAGCATCTTATTAAACGAGATTGTTCTTCTTGTTTTGCTCAATCGTTAATTATGATTATTCTTGTTGAAAGATATGAAAAGAGAGGATGAAATTTCGAGATCAAGTTGTTTTTCTTGTATACCAAATGTTGATGACCGATGTCATCACAAACAATTTTTTTGTCGGTCGACGTTGTTAACATTTTTATTAATATACCGAAAATATTGTACAAGCGGCTCGCATTTGTTTATTCTTCTTGTTTGCATCGCTTTGATTTTAAACATGTGCCGGTGATAATATGTAGAAAATTTATTAGCACAACGATGAACGGTACTGGGGAAAAAAACTGAAATGGTATTGTCATAAAATGTCAGCACAAGAATGTAGCCAGTCCCAAGAGAACCGGACTTTATCTAAATTAACACATGTTAATTCATCGCTTAAAATGAGGCGATTTTTATCGAATGCTTTTAGGTCAACACATTTTCAAATCTCATTTCAAATTTGATACATTTTAAATCGAATCGAGTGGTAGGCTCTTTTTGGTATTTTTTTGGTTTCAAAAAATGTGTCTATCCAAAAAATAAATTCGATTTTCTCAACTTCCCAAACATTCACTTGCTGTTGAATTGATTAAATTTCATAATTCGATCGATTGTTCGTCACAAATTTTAATTGCAAAGCAAATGATGAAACATAATTGTATTCTGAAGCCATGCCCATATACAGCTGATCATTCAGTCGGTGACACTTTTTACTTCAACCATCTTCCATCGATGATGAAATCACGGTTTCAAAACGCCAGCAGGAAAACAAAACGAACCTGAAATAGTGCGCGATTTTAATT